TGGAGGCTCTTACTGTACATTTCCAGAGTTATGAGAACAAGGTCATAATATCAGTGACGGTCGATCCAACAGTGGTTCCTGATCCTCACAAGATGTGTGATGATTTTGTGGAGTCTCTCAAGTTAATTAAAGCTTCTGTCCTAGAAAGAGGGTTATATAAGATGGAGGTTTGATAAAAGCTATTTTTTTCTGTTGTGTCGCAATATCGTATCATCTGTTTATTTCTTATATGTATTGTGGTTTACCTCCATGGTGCCTTACTAAGCTATAGCAACTAAATATATATAAAAAAATTGTAAGACATCAAGTTTATATTAAGCAGATCATAAACTTTGGTTAAATAACTGTAATTATTATTTTTTTGCTTACATGCGAGGTTATCAAAATAATAGATGCTAAATCACTATAACCAGCCTGACAAAAACTCAAGTTATTTTAAAAGACAGGGCATCTTCTTGAATGAAGTAAAGATTATCAACGTGGAAACTGTGCATATCCTTGTGTTCTTTTAAACTTACTGATCCAACTTTGTTTACTTTCTTTCATTTATGTACAAAGAACGTTAAAGTTACCGCATACATAGATACATTTTACCAGATGTTGTGGATCGATGATGATAATTGATACATTACATATTGGCTACAACCGGCTCCACCTCAGTTTCTCCTTCCGATCCTTCCTTGGTCGTCTGCACCAAAAAATATCCGGTTAACAAACCAAACCAAAACATGGAATCAATCGTGATTCGGTTAACTAAAACCGGTATTACCAGAAGAGAAACTTTGGATTTGGTTTGAGAGAGATAGAGAGCCAATGCTCCATTCCCACGGAGGATCTTAGCTCCAGAGCCTCTACGACCTTCTCCTTCAACTGCTTCTTCATCCACCACTACTGCCTCTATCATATCCTTCCCTGTAGCCTCGTCTGGAATCTGAATAAAAACAAAACACAAGAGTTTGAACGCAGAGTTTGATGACATGAGTTTGTTGTATAATGAGGTAAGAAGAACTTACCTCATACATAGAATCCATGAGAATGCTTTCTAAAAGAGCTCTTAAGCCACGAGCTCCTGTGTTTTTCTTTATTGCCTTTCTAGCTATTAACCTCAGCGCTGTTTCCGTGAAATGCAGCTTCACACTATTCATCTGATACATCTTTTTGTATTGCTTTCCAAGTGCGTTCTTGGGCTCTGTCAGAACCTGTAATCAAAATGATTCTGAGTATTGCAAGAATCACAACAAATGTCAATCATACAGCTTCTGTCATACCTGCATAAGTTGGTTCTCGGTCAGAGCAGACAAGCTGACGAGAACTGGAAATCTTCCAACAAATTCAGGTATTAAACCATAAGCAATCAGATCACTGCTTTCCACCTGACAACCCCAAACAATGGACACACATGTCATTATGAACAAGCAGAAGAATCCCCACAAAACATGTGCTTAAAGACTTACAGTTTCCATCAAGTTTGATGCAACAGCTGCGTTTGTAACACCACCAACCCTCATGTTAGCACGTACAGGAGCACCAAACCCTATTGAAGAATCATGGCGCCTGGGAAAAAAAACATTCAGTTGACTTCTAAAGGTAATATTTAGGGGATTTTTTTTCACTAGGCATACCTCTCTGAGATTGTCTTTTCGATGTCTACAAAAGCACCACCACATATGAAGAGTATATCTTTTGTGTCTATCTGCAAACATTTAACAAGGACGTGGAGTAAGAAACAGACGTAACAGAGGATGCACCTTAAACACCAACACTCCTATCATCATGCAAAGAACAATAATGATTTACATATCTTATGACCTTAGTCCCGCTCCATATGCACAATAAAAAGAAACTCAGATGCATATTTTTTTGCAGGTGCAAGCCAAAACACACAGAATAGAGAAGAGTATAGCACAAGCAATAAACCTGGATATTGTCGCCTCTAGGGTGCTTTCTAGCGCCCTTCTCAGGTACATTAACGATCTATTCCCAGAAAGAGAGAGAGAGTTATCAACCACAGAAAAAGAATTATTGAGATCTTACTTAAACTGAAGACTTACTGTTCCTTCAAGCATTTTTAGCAATGCTTGTTGAACACCTTCCCCTGATACATCTCTGCTGATGTTAAGGCTTTCTGCCTGGCAACACATAAAATAACATATAAAGTTTTCCAAATTGGCACTAGGAAAATGTTTTTTCATCTCCAACCTTTTTTGTTATCTTGTCAACTTCATCAATGTAAACAATCCCCTGCTGTGCAGCTGCAACATTATAATCTGCAACCTGGAGAGAGATATCAATCAAAACCACTCATTACAAAATAATATAAAGAAATTGATACTAGATACAAAAAAATAAAATGTTTGGTTTTTAGAAGCTTACTGTAAGAAGTTTGTATAATATAGACTCTACGTCCTCTCCCACATAACCAGCCTGACAAAAATTATTTCATTTTTTGGAGTGGTCATCATCACGAAAAGAAAATGCGGCAAAGAAAAGACTAGAAGAAAGAACGAGAATAACCTGAGTCAAGGTGGTTGCATCCGCAATGACAAAAGGAACATTCACAAACCGTGCCAAGGTTTTCGCAAGTAGTGTCTTACCTGTGGTTGAATAAAAACAACAAAATAAATTAAGTGAAACAGCTGAGTTTGAAGTTTTGGCAACCATGGTAGATTAAACAGATTAGGGTCAGAATAATTACCTGACCCAGTTGGTCCCATCAGGAGAATGTTACTCTTCTCCAGTTCCACCAGATCATCCTCATCAGCTGGTTTCGCTGCAGTGCTATCTGTTTCTCCTGAAGCCCTAGCTTCCCACACAAGTTTCAGCATCAAAACCAACGAATCTCTTATGCAATACGTGAAATTAACAAAGTTTCATATCAAAGTGCAAGCAAAACTAAAGAAAATACATACTGACATGATTTACCAAAGAACAAGATATCTTATTTGCAGATGCCTAGGTGATAAGCTGTACTAATACAGATAGATTATTTTTGTAGACTAACCGTTTCTGTAATGATTCGTAATTTATCCTCTTGTAGTGATTGTAAACTGCCACTGAAAGTACCTGCATCCACAAGATAACACAGTAGTGCGTTAAAAAACTAAAAATATTTCCCATGTCTAAACCAAATAGAACCACACATAATTCAAGTATTCAACTGTGTGCAGTACAGAAAGTACCAAAAGGGGGCAAAGCTTGGTTCACACCCTAAAGAATGCTAAAACTGAACAGGGTATTAAACGTTTAAGACAGTGGAACCAAACCTAAGAGTCTAAAACACCTAACAGTACAGCATCAGCTGTTGTTTCTCTGAAAACAATGTAACTTTCTAATCAAATTAGCACCATCCAAAGCCTAAAGCATAACACAGACATGTTTAGCCACAAACGATCATCCCACAAGCAAACCAATATAGAACCGAACCATTAACAAACAGATGTTGGGAAATTGGAATACAGAGCCAACACTAATTTCATGAACTATCTATCAAGTAAACAACACACCAAAAGCCTCATCGTTTTCACCTTTTTAGCTCTCTCCTGACCAATCACGAACTTGTCCAAACCATTACAAATCTCCTTGGGTGTCGGAAAACTAGACCCAAGATTAGATCCACCCCAACAATCTTCCTTCGAATCCGACCCTGTTCCGTCACCAACACCAGAACTACTTCCTCCACCACCACCGCCACCACGACCGGGATTAACCCTAAGGGAAACTCCATCACCCGGAGGCTGCCAGAGATCCGGCGGGTCTCCCTGAGAGCACAAAAGAGCAGACTTTATCACCTTCTCCACACCACTATTGGTAGCGTAACACCGTCGCTCTCCTCCCACAGGCTTGAGAGAAGCGATCTTGTTACGGTGGGTGGAGTGAGGAGTCGAGGAGGAGGTGGTGTGGAGACGGTTGGAGATGAAGTAGCGGAAGTGAGAGAGTGTGAGAGAAGCGGTTTCTCTCGTCGTGTTTGACCTCAAAGCCGCAGCGGCCATGGCGGTTTTCACACAGGGAAGAAGATCAACGAGAGGGGAAGGTAATCAGCAATTGGTTAACATGATCCGATTCGAAGATGAAGATGAGAATTTTGGAGATGGGTTTTTTGAGAAATGAAGGAAAGAAAGAAACTTTGAAGGTGATGAAGCAGACGGAAAGGATGAAGAAACGCAAATTCGAAAAGGGAGAGAGAGTTATATCTTATTTCATCTTCTTCTTCTGGTAACAGTTTGACGAGAGCTTTGACGGTTCTTGGTTTTCCAAACGTCGCCGTCTTCAGTTGATTTTAGCAACCGTTGGATTTAACAAGAATAATTATAAAATGATCTTATGCACGCACAGTACAGTAGCATGGTAGAGATACCAAACCGAGTTAGTTAATCCATCCGGTTTGATTAACAGATTGTAAGGGTTAATCTGCTATGCTTGCAGATTGAGCTTAACTAGAGATTGTAATGGTTAGTTTGATATGTTGTTTTGATCAAAGCGTAATTCCAAAACTGATAATCCTAATCTATCCTACGGACCATGGATTCATCTGAGCAATCTCTGATAATTTCTCTGGGCTCCTTGATCATCAGGTAAAATGACTTATCATCTTCTATTGTACATTATTCATTAGTTTTCAGTTGAGATTTCAGATAAGATTTAATACATAATGTTTTGACATACATATCCATTTTTCTTTGCATACGTTCAAGAAGCTTATATGCTCACTCTGAGGAAGCTGGAGAAGCACTAGCTTCCGCCCTGCTCAAAAGTTTCATTAGTATACGTGGCAAAACAGGTGCAGCCTGCGTATTTTTTTATAAAGCTTCAGGCACAATTTGATTTTACAAGTAGGAGGAGACCAAATGTACAGAGTAGTGTGACTGTATCAATTCTATGAGGGTAAGTGTAACTATCTTCTTCTCTATGTATAAAACATCATTTTACACTTGGTGGGCTGTGGTATCAATCATATGCAAAGTCTTTTAGGTTGTGGATGTAAAGGCAATGTTGTTTACTCATCAAACCTCAGTTGCTTTTAAGTGGAAGCAGTGAAATAGATATTTTCACTGACATAGTTTTGTCCCCCTAAACAATCGCATCCATTTACACAAAGTTAAAATAGAAAACAATGTCTATAATTTTGTCAATCTTTTAGGTTATCAAATTTGATGTTTTTACTTATACACACTATAGAAAAGAGATTTGAAAAGCAAGTTCAAGAAGAACCATGGAGCAAATGAGACAATGCTTTCTCAGTGTCGTTCTCAAACATGAAGAGAGCATCTGCAACAGCGTTTGTTGGGAACCCCATTTCCCGAAGCGCTGTGAACCCATTTGCAAATTCCTGAACCTGAAACACGTTTTCACAACAACAAAAATAAACTGTAGTTAGATGATACTCCTTTGTGGAATGAAGAGAGTATATCTCGAAACACACAACACAACAGTTGATCTCTGAAAGTATAAAAATACATGAATAGAATGTGTGGCTAGATTGAAATAAGATAAAAATGCACCTTTGTGGGATTATCACCATAGTTTGCAACTGCGATGTTGACAGCTTCTCTGTTGAGCCCAGCATATTTCATCACTACTGGATCCACACCCTGCAGTGGAACACAATCTCATTAACAATGATAGAGCTACAACAAATCCAAGGATCATACTAATGCAAAATCTAATCTGGACTCAGTTCCCATTTAGTAATTACCACAAAACAAAACATGTTCTGTTAAATTACGTTCATAGATGATGATTCACACTTGTCCTTCCAAAAGCTCATACTAACAACCTTGGGCCTAACTCTAAGAAGCTTCTATAGCGCAAATCTAAGGATCATACAACTGTGTAATGCACAACCTAATCTTAAACCCAATTCCCATTTAGTAGTACACAAAACAAAACATGTTCTGTTAGTTACGTCGATAGATGATAATCATCCACACTCTTTCTTCAAAGAAGTCATATTAAATAACCTCGGGCCTAACTAACTCTAAGAAGCTTCCACAGAGCAAGTTTAAGGATCATACAAGAATGTAAAGCAAAATCTAATCCTGAAACCAACTCTCATTTAGTAGTACACAAAACAAAACATGTTGTGTTAATTAAGTTCATAGATAATGAAGGATGATATGATCCACACTTGTTCTTCCAAGAACTCATACTAACAACCCCCACCTAAGAACTCTTACTAACAACCTCATGAGGACTAACAAGCTATAATAGCATTGAAGATGAGCCTTTAGTTACCATTGAAGGAGCAGGTGGTTGTGGAAAGTTAGCCACCGGTGGAGGAGGAGGATGCTCAGACCCAAACTTACTCCAATCCGGATTCTCCTTCTCAGCCTCCGCAAGAACCTTCCTTTCTAAACCGAAATCAAACTGAAAACTGCTCCGAGGAACATCTCCAACTCGAGGCAACAACGGAGGCTGAAACAACATCAACACACACTTTCAAAAATCTCCCAAACTTTTATAAAAAGATGAAAACTTTCACATCAGAATAGCAAAAAGTTACTAAATTTTTACTCACCGGAGGAGTAATCCGATACTCAGGCTTCAGAGTCACCTTGATTCCTAATCCAGCTAACCCCCAAAAAAAACAGAGCATCAGATAACAAAAGAAAAACAGAGCATCAGATTAAAAAAAAAAAAATCGAGTTAAAAGGGGATTGGAGATGGAGAGTTACAAGAAGGAGGAGAGGGATGTTGAAAGGAAGGAGTTCTCTCGGGAGGAGGAGGGAAGAAGGGTTGGGCACCGATCTTGGGGTAACCAGGAGGTCCGTTGTAAGTAGATGATGGGGAAGGAGATGGGTACATAGGGCGGCCGTAGGAGGAGGGGCCTGATTTGTTTCTGAAGTCGTAATCCATTTGTTGTTTTTAGGATTTTGCTGAGAAATTGCGATCCGCGACGACGACGAAGAAGAAGAAGAAAGTCTTGAAGAAGGGGGATGAGATCTGTTTGGATATAAGGATACTTGTATTCCTTCCCAAGCTTTGACTTCGTTTTTTCAACATACAATATTTTCTTATATATATATAAACCAACTTATGAAAAAAAAAAAAAAAGCCGTCAACTCAAAAATTTATTCGATTAGTGATTTAGAATCAATTTACCCATTTGATTTTGAATTTAATCATCCCCTATCCCCTATATATTAATTGAGAAACATTTGAAAAGATGTAACCTCAAGTTTGTATTAATTAAAAAGTAACCTTGCTTAGTTGTCAATCAATTAGCATATCAATTAAACTGACGTGGCGGCTTTAGGTTCAATTGAAATTTGCTAGGGAAAAATAATTAGAGACGCATGTAACATAGTTTATATATTTATATATATCGCACG